TAGATCCCTGGGCACCTTTCCCAGTCTATGTGCGTACGTTTCGGTGTTTGTATAAGCGTGATTGCTAGATTATAGGCCTTGAATCATTTTTCCATATCCTCTCGTGATGAACTGCTACCAGACATATCTTACTTACCTACTTGAATACTTGGTCGGCTCGTCTTTACTGATAACGCCAGCGCCAGCACAAGCAAAAAACTGAGCTGCTTAAACTGTATTGTTCCCTGTAGTTTCGCGGTAAGCCCAGATGGGGTTTTTCAGGTAGCCACCACATTACAGTTCATCAACTCTTGTGGACCAAAGGGAATTTACTTTGCAAATAGTAGTTACTAAGACGGCGATCATTCTTGGTGCACTGTACTCTTAGCATGACTCTCCGGGTGGAAACGTCGGACTTTTTCTTGGCATGGGTGGTCCTCCTGGAAGATTGAAGTCACCGCTGTACTTTGCAGTGTGACTCAAAAGGCCATTCAGCCACTATGAGACTGTAAACTATCTGGAAGGCCCAGACTTATTCGAAAAGATAAAAACTAGCAGGTGGTCCATGACATGTCATTGTATAGACCTAATGTGATTCCATATGTTCTATAAGACAACGAAAGGAATAGAATTCATGGTGCATCTGCACGCAATTATCAACACCGGACGCTCCGTCTTCTACCCTTCAATAGGTTGCATTCAATTTTGCTCAGAAATCATACGTGTTGAATTTTTAATAATGATAAATTTTACGCAAGACTTTGGACGTTGGACGGAATTCGAACCCGCATTTTAACTTTCCTGGGCTCGTGCTAACCATTGCACTACCAGCGTTCCTGTTCTGGGATTATTTCTGTGACACTAATATTGTAATGTGGAAATTGTTCCCCACTTGAAAGCGACACTTGAAAACAGATAAATCACTTGCTGTGGGCTTTAGCATACATTGTTTTGCTATGTAAAAAGTTTGTTGTATAAAGTAGTTTAGTATTGAATGTCCATTGATCCTTTTCATGACATAGATAAGCAAGTATCATTTTCTGCAAATCTCTGCTTATCCTGCATTCCTGTAGTTCCAGCGGCTACCTGAAGCTTGTCGTCCACCAATAAATTTTTATGAGAACTTATCAAGTTTTTTCTTTTAGGAATTATGATAAACTCGATAATGTAGGCTGGTGTGCAAAAACATTTGCGCCAGCCTAGATTCAAACCCTGATCTCACCGTGTGCAGCGGTTCAGCACACGCTCCCGGAAAAAGTAAGATCTGGGTTCGAATCGCGGATGACGCAAATGTTCTTGCAAACCACTCTACATTATTGGGCTTATTATAACATCATACCACCGCAATACGCGGTCAAATGAAATGACTTCTAGGTGTCCTAATGATAGGCGCCAATAATCCTCGTTCATTCGCAGTTCGTCGAATTTAATATTGTTACACAAGAATTAGTAGACTCTTGTTAACATAATCTGTTATATCGTACATGCACGATTGACTAATACTTTAAATTTTTCCCTTTGGGGGCTGCCTTTTTCTGGCTCGTAACTTCTTTCTTTTTCTTCTTTCCTTTCTCAGAACTACACATTAGTACGATTTTCTCGAAAAACCGAATCAACGTGTTTTTTCTGCGTCCCCAAAAAAACGCACTGAAACGGGTGCACGTAGATATTTGGTAATTATATAGGACGGCGATAAATGAAAAACCCATCTCATTCGCTGGACAGGGACTCTTCACAGGAGTGATAGTAATTAGTCAAAAGTATAAATCTCTGGCTACACCTTCACGCAGGCGGGTTTTTCAAAACACCATTTTATAACTCTGTAAAATCCAACATAAAACTATATTTCACATCAGCCGTTCGCCTCGATTTTTGTCGCGCATATTCGCTGGAAGCACGGAAAGCATATCAACGTATACAGAAACTGTCGCAGTAGTCATCGTTTTATCTTGAGTTTTTGCGAAGTGGAGAAAAAACTCCTATTTGAATAACAAATTGCATCTCGCATATTCAACAGCCAAACCGTCGATCAATTGGCCCGACCCCCTTCCCCTCGACCCCATAGTGGCCGATAAACAATCTCGGCTAAAATGTAAACTCGATATTATTCTCCGTTAACGATGCTTTTGTTGAAAATAAGCACAGCGTTGGAATCATTGATATGTACGCTATCGAATGATTACTAGTAGTCTATAGAAAGAGCTTTGTACGGTGAGGTGTAGAGCACAAATCTTTTTTTTTCTCATACAGCCTATCAAACGAGCTTTATCAAGAAGCAAACACACTATTGAGTTATGCGAAACTTGTGCTATTCAACGAGTCCTAGCACTCCAAGGAAGAATTTTTGTCCAGCGAAATATAAGCGAGATAAAAAAAAAACCCCGTGGTCGTGTGAAACAGAATTTTATATCGGGTTTGAAACGTTATAAAAGTGTGTTATGAGAAGCCGGCCACGTGCAGCTGTAGCCAAGGACTTATGCTTTTGAATCATTACTAGCAATCCTATGAAAGGTCTTGTCCAGCGAATGAAATAGGTTTTTCATTCGTCGCCGTCTAACATATAAATACCAGATATTGCTCTCCGATACAACGGAAAACGCACCGAGCGGATTATTTACAGCCTCAAGTACACGCATTAGTGCAGATTCACAAAAGACTCTATACAAGCGTATAAGTCGACTAAATATCTTTCTAAATTCCCTAGCAGTAGAGAGCGTGTGGCGCAGTGTTTAGAGGTGTCCCACTACGCGTACGTGGTCAATAATCCGGTCCCGCTCTTAAGCCTCACCAAGCTTTCCATTCCTTCAAAATCGTAAAATAGTGTCAAACTTGTCTGAGAGGATATCAGCACTGATTGACACATTGGTAGGCCCCAGCGAGCCATCGTAAAGTCAAATATGCATTTAGTCACCTACATAAATACTCAATGATGTCGACGGGAGTGACTAATCTTTGAGTACACATAATATTCAAGACTCCTTATATTTTAACCGCTTTAAAACAGTTAAAACGTAAGGAATGTTGATTATTATGTATGCACAATGGCTTTTAGCATAACTGGGTTTAGAAAGCGATATGTGCTTACCCGACCAAACCTGTTGAAGGAGCAGCTGATAGCTATCATTTTGAGATATTAAACAATGAGTGTTGGGTAATCGGCGGCCTCGGTAGTGTAGTGAATGCAAGCGCCCCCGATATGGGTGAAATGGGGGTTCAACTCCCGTCTGAGGTCGAGGTTTTGCTCACCACTCAATTCTCTTAGGTATAATCTTTGAGCAATTGACCACAGCTTTATTGTTTTTTCGACAAATCCAGGTATTCTAACAAACCTTCAAATTATAATCTAATAACATATCTTGAGCCTTTGAAAAGGTCTGATAGGGCACTTGTAGAGTGCTAGACACGTGTTTCGGTATTACAGCCTCATCACTATCATGGTGCCTTTCGGTCCAGCCAATCTCTTGCAGGTGGATATACCCTCTACATATGAAAGAATCGACGCCGAATCATTTCAAATATTGACATGAGGTGATCTGAAATAATTCAGCGTAAAATGCTTTATATGTGGAGGTTTCTACTCTACAAGGGACTGGCTGAACCAAAAAGCATTGTGCTACTAATGAGATTGTAATGCCGAAACACATGTCTGGCACTATTAAATGTCATATCAGAGCTCATGAAGGGCTCAATATATGTTATGAGATAATACACTGCTTTGAGCGAGGTCAACAAACACAGTCGAATGTAAAAGTCCTTCAATCTGTTTTCAACTCTCGTTGTGAGACGGCATCGCTCTCAAAGCTTTTATCAGCATCTTTATTGCGATGAATTTCCAAAAAAGCTGTAGAACGTCATTTTAATCAATCGTTTTTTACATGAGGCCAAAACGTGGTTCCGCTGTCTGGAATTCTTCCTATTGTCTGACCTTTTGGCAATTTCTCCTTTTCGTTCCGCCTTTTGTTCCTTTGTATCTATCGAACTAGGTTGTGGGCAATTTGAGCAGTCCAGGATTCGAAGGGAGCAAATAGTTGTAGCGTCGGAAAATCGAGTAAATTGTATTATAACATCCTCGTGTTTGGCTTGCAAAGACAAATCGGTACTTTTCCGTTATCCGTGCCCTATTTAAACCCCTTGAAAGGAACTGATTTTTTGGCAGTTTTTGATGTTTAAGCAGTCTTTCGATAGCTAAACTCAAAACAATTTGAATAACATATTTTCTTCTCAAAAGACTTTATTGCTGTGATATAAGAGCAAAAATAAAACGTCGTTACTTATTCAAGCATTTCTTGCTAACCAGAGCTTTTTTCAGTTTTTACTAATTAGTCGATTTATCAAATCCCGTGAATTCAAGTAGTTTTCTTAGTAAAACGGACTTTTTGGTGCACTGTAACAACCAAAAGGAAATAGGGTTCACACATGGCGTGCAACATGTGTCTTAGCCGAAGAGGCTATGCTTTACCATTGCCAAAAAGTCTGTGGAGCGAACGCAAGCTCCATTAGATGACCTTTCTTACACATACGTTCGGTTTGTAACACGCCACGTTTTCGTAGGGAAATGACTGCGTGTTCTTCAGTATTTGCTAAAGCATGAAGGCTCATAATTGAGGAAATTCGTTGAAAACCAGCAGAAAACAAATGAAAGGCAATCATTGTGCAGCGGACTGGTGTCGCTTGCTGCGAATTCTTATTCACATATGGGTAAAAGCGTGTTGGCTTGGTGCCAATATTGGCAAAATCTTATCCATATAGTGCCAAGGCGTGGTAGCTTGAAGTTGGTGTCGCGCTACGCAAAACTTAACATTTTTTTGGCTGCTACAGCTCAATAAAAAGTCGTTTTCAAAAACCAAGAGCGCTATCGAAATTGACGACATTCAAGCTATCGAATGATCTTGAAAAATGTGAAGGAACGTCTTTGTTCACCAAGAAATATTCCAATGAGAAATATGACTTTATTTTTTCTCTTGCGACGCAACAATACACCCATATTGAAAAACAAAGTGCATCATTGAAATCTCTGAGATTTGAGCTATCAGATGATTATTGAACCTGAAAAACATAAGACGCTTTATCTCAAGGCATCGAAGAAAGACCCGGATAATAGTGATAATCCAGTTTTGCGAAAGCTAATCTTCTCTTAGCTGTTATAGCGCACCAAGAAGTCCTTTTCAAAGCCACAGCCATTTTGGGAATCCTTTAGATTTAATCTATCAAATGGCTGTCACTAACGGAAAGTACCAAAAAATCTGTATATTACAAAAGATTGTCGGGGTTAATTTGCCGTCGGCCCGGTAATCTGGAATTTTGAAGCTTTCTTTTGGTTTAACGGAGCCACGGACAGTCATCAAAGCTTGACGCCTTGACCGAGTTTCTGGTTATTAACGTTGAACATTTCAAAGACTTTCGTAAACTTCCCGTATATCTTATTTCAACGCGGAGCAACACCCATTCTTCGTCAAAATGACACGGTTAGCTTTTGAGCAGATGGTGGTATAATTTGCATAGTGGTTGCATTGCAATCTTCATTGATGAAGACATGTGCCAACCTATTATTTTTCAGTGTCAAGCACTTCTAAACACTGGTGCGATGCCTGCGCTTCTTCAAGCTATTGCCGATTCCATGGGATCATTTTATGATTTGATCGCTGTTCAAACGATGGGATGCCCTTCATACGAGACTCTGTTCGCAATTTGCTCATAATAACAATTAGAAAAATGTTCATCATTTGCTATAAAACATATAAACAAAGCAAAATAAGAGATGCGCACGAAGCTGAATTTGAAAAATAACACATTAGTGAAGCAAGTTATATAGCTTAACACACTACAGTCACCTT